TCAATAGATATCAATTCATTTTTTGCAATACTATACATTATAGAAATAAACAATACACATAACCATTGTCCAGCACTGACGACTATTAATGACTCTCTGCTATACTTGAAGAAAGGAGCCTAGCATAACTGCCATCAGAGAGACTTCACCCAACAACTGATGGAAACAGATGGCAGAGTCCCATATCCAAGCGTTAGGCAAAGCTTGGGGAATCCTGTGGAAGAGGGAGAAGAAGGATTATAGAATATAGAAGCCAGAGAGGGCTGGGCGGTGGTGGCGCATGCCTTTAATCCCAGCACTTGGGAGGCAGAGGCAGGCAGATTTCTGAGTTCAAGGCCAGCCTGGTCTACAAGAGTGAGCTCCAGTACAGCCAGGGCTACACAGAGAAACCCTGTCTCGAAAAACCAAAAAAAAAAAAAGAAGCCAGAGAGGTCAAGCGTGTACACACACACACACACACACACACACACACACTACAGAATCAACTAACCTGGACCCACAGAGGTTCATAGAGACTGAAAGACAAACCAGAAAGTCCACATAGGACTGACCTAGGCCCTCTGCACACATGTAACAGTTGTATAGCTTGATCTTCATGTGGAACTCCTAACATTGGAGTAGAGGCTGCCACTAACTCTGTTCCCTGCCTTTGGGACCCTTTTCCCCTACTGGGCTGCCTAGTCTAGTAGATGCCCCTAGTCTTATAGCAAGTTGATATGTTAGGACTGGTTGATAGCCACAGAAGGCCTCTCCTTTACTAAAGAGAAAGGGAGGAAGAGCGGGTGGGAGCAGATGGGTGGGGGTGTCGTGAGGAAACACTGGGAGGAGAAGAGGGAGGGGAAATGAAGATTGGGATGTAAAGCAAATTAATTAATTTTAACAAGAAATAAACACGTCATAGGATGAGCATACTGTAATATGTTTAGTCCAACACTGACACATTTGCTGTTATAAACAACGCTACCGTACTATCTTAAGGTTCTTGGGGCTGCAGAGATGGCTCAGCAGTTAAGAACACAAACCCTGCTCTTGCAGAAGACCCAAGCATGGTTCCCAGCACCCATATTAAGATGACTTACAGCAAGCTGTAACTCCAACTTCAGAGGATTTGATGTCCACTTCTGGCCTCTGAGAGCAATACATAGCAACACACACACACACACATAAAAATAAAGACAGACCTTAAAAAAGATTAAGTTTAAGCCAGATGTGGTGGTGCACGTTAGTCATCTCAGATCACCATGACTGAGAGGGGAATAAAGGCGTTAAGATCCTAACAAACTGAAGGCTAGCTCAGGCTATATGAAACCTTGTTTCAAAAAGACAATTATTATCCATTAGTTCCTTACAGTTGGAAATCCCAAAGCTGTGGTTACCAGACTAACAGGCAAAGTGAATATTATAGATTTTTTTTTCCAGCTCATCTTCAAGTTTGGTTTGTTGATATTATAAACCAAGAGGGAAGCTGTTTTGCACTCACTGGGATAGAGATTTAGCTGCACTTAACAGAAACCTCAACTAGCCAAGACTTACACAGATCATTTTCTTTTTCTTTCACATAACAGTCTAGAGATGGTCACCTGAGAGACTCACACATGAAATCGTCAGAAGATCCCTCCTACACTGCTATACTCTTGAGTATTGATAGCTCCTGATCCAAGGTTAGCCCACTACCTTGTCACCAGTGAGAGAAAGGAATGAGGATGAACTCATCCCTTTCCTTTCAGGACATTTGTCACATGTTGTCTGTCTTCTAACTTCAGTTTGGTGACCTGAACTTAGTTATCTAACTCCTCCTTGGGAAAAATGGTACTTGTGCGTGGCCATGTACCCAGCTAGTAGCATGATGACCAAGGGAAGACTGGATAGCAATCTACTTGTGGGGTGTGTGTGTGTGTGTGTGTGTGTGTGTGTGTGTTTGCCATGTATGTCCATGTGCCCATGGAGGGTAGATTCACTGGAGCTGTGGTTACGGGCAGTTGCAAGCTATGCCATTGGATGCTGGAAACCAAGCTTCTAGAAAAGCAGCAAGCACTCTTGACTGCTGACCTACTTCGCCAGCCCCAGTGTTAAAAGCTTTTTAAAGAACTAGCATAGTTATACTAGTAACATCTACACAAATCAACCATTTCCCATGCAGTTCTTCTATTTTGTTTTTAGTTAGAACATAAAATAAATGAGTCATATGACCGTTTCATACCTAGGTGGCATTGTAACTTGCTCGAGTTTGCCCGGTCCTTTCCCTCCTTCTCCCACAGCTCTCCCGTGTAATCCTGACTGAAAGCAAGCAATTATTTTGCCTTTCTTCTTCCCATCATCTTCTCACATTTCTCCTTTCCCCCTCCTTTAGATCTCTTCCCACCTGCCACAGAGTCTCCCTTCATGGTTTGTTTTTTTCCCCCTTGCTTATTTATTTAAATTCTACATCTGAAGAAACACTCGCATCATTTGTCCTTCTGAGACTGAAAAGACCATCTTTCGCTTGTTAAAGTCTACACAGGAACACTCCAGATACTAATCTGTTATATTTCTTTGTTTTATTTAGGTTTTTTTTTTAATTATTACTTATTTTTACTTTACATGTATGGGTGTTTTGCCTGCATGTGTGTCCATGCACCAGGTGTGTGCAGTGCCTGAAGAGGAAGTTATATCCTAAGGGACTGGAGTTATAAACAGTTGTGAGCTGCCATGTGGGTGCTGGGAATTAAACCCAGATCTTCAGGAAGAGTAGCCAGTGCTCCTGGCCACCCCTTCATCCCTACTCTTGCTTTTTGAGGGTTCCTAAAGCCCAGATTGCCCTTGAACTTGAAATCTCTTTGCCTCTAGCTCCTGAATGGAGAGATTATGCAAATATTTGTCACCACCTGGGAGTCCCCTCTTTATCAGAAAATGATTTGATGCCGGGCAGTGGCACGCCTTTAATCCCAGCACTTGGGAGACAGAGGTAGGTGGATTTCTGAGTTTGAGGCTTGCCTGGTCTACAGAATGAGTTCCAGGACAGCCAGAGCTATACAGAGAAACCCTGTCTCAAAAAAAAAAAGAAAAAAAAGAAAAAAAAAGAAAGAAAGAAAGAAAGAAAGAGAAAAAGAAAGGAAGAAAGAAAGAAAGAGAGAAAGAAAATTATTTGATAATAATTCATATGATTGTTTTATGTCAAAGTTGATTTCCTGATACTTGTTACCAGTAGGTAACCATTGAAACTGATTTTTGTTTGATTTTTATTAGAATCGTTGATCAATGAAGTTAACAACAGTCAAAGGTATACTTTAAAAACTGGTGTGTCTTAGTATCTGGATGCTAAATTTGAAGCAGAGATCCTTTTCTAAGTTCTGGTTTTCCAATGTTAAGAATCTCAGGGCTAGCCAGGCGGTGGTGGCGCACGCCTTTAATCCCAGCACTTGGGAGCCTGAGTTCAGATCCCCAGAATTCATGTAAAATGCTGGGCATGAACGGGGCTGCTCATCCCTGTAATCTTGCTGCAGAGAAGGGAGGATCCCTGGGGTTTGCTTGGCCCATAATCTAACTGAATAGGTAAACAAGCTCCAGGGTCAGTCAGTGACTTCATCTCAAAAATTAGATGGAGGGTGAGAGAAGACACCCAACACGGACCTCTGCCTCCGAATGTACATACACACATGAACATGTACACATTACACATTACACACACAGACACACACACAGAGTATCTCTGAGGATGTATTTCAATTGGTATTTTCCAAGCTCGTACAAAACCCTGTATTCAACTTCTAGAACTATATAAACCAGACTTAAGGGTAGACACCTATAATCCCAGTTCTTGTGAGGTAGAAGCAGAAGCAGGAGGATCAGAAACCCAAGGTCATTGTATGCATGGCAAAGTAAAGAGGCATGCCTGGGCTACATAAGACTCTGCCTCAAAAACATAAATGAAACTTTCAAAGCATCTTTGCCAACCAGTAGCTATATCAATAAAACTGCACACGTTTGTCTCAGGATCTTAGACTATGAGGAAAATAAAACATTACTGAGCAGAAAGCCGTCAATCAGTAGGATCTGGTGACCAAGAACAGCCTCTCCCAGGCTGATGACTGTGTAAGGCTACTTCCTTTCCTCTATTTCAAAATCTGCAGGTGTGGTCACACTCCAGGATGGGACCTGATACTTTCCTCCCAGTACTAGTATCCAGGCTGAGATATAGACTTTTTATAATACCTTTTTTGAAAACAGAGCAGCTTTTCATAGGTTTGTCTACTAGTACCTCTCTCCCTGGTTCTTCTGCCTGTGAAGAGAACTTCAGTGCTGGCATTCTCTTCATGTCTTTAGGGAGTACAAGGGGCAGCAACCGTGCAAAATAAGGTCAGCTTCTTAGCTACAAGTGCTACAGATAGCAGCAAAGGTTGTAGCGTCTTAAATACCACAATGAAACCCTAGTCCAAAGTAGGGAGGGAACTCTTCTCACATCAATTCAGAACTGTGCCCACCTGAAAGATTTTTGTCAAATGTGCACAGAGCACATTGATTGGATGGATGGATGGATGGATGGATGGATGGATGGATGGATGGATTTAGGAAAGAAACTAATAGAATACAAAAGAAGTCCCTGTATCATCCACCGGAGCCTTCCTTCGCAGGTGAGCGTTCAGTGGCTACTTGTTCCTTGTGTTGGCTGTGGTTCCCCTGGCTGGAGAAATTCAGAGCTCATTCCCTCTCATAGCATTTCCTTCCTCCCAAGCCAGGAGTCACTTTGCATAACAGGAAGTTATGCATAAGTAGTACATCTGGATGAGCCAGGAACCTGGGCTTCAGGATCATACTTTTTAGGGAGTGCCTGTGGTCCCGGAAAGCCTCTCTGAAGCAGGGAAAAGGTGTTTGGAAGAAGAGTGCAATATTGAGCCACCTGAGGTCGTGCAAGCAGCAGGGTTAGGGCCATCTTGAGGTTGCCAGCTCCTGCAGCGGGCGGGGCCAGGCGGGGCGGGGTGCGGACGCTTGCACCTCCTGGCCACCCGCGGTCACAGGTGTGACCGAAGCTGGCAAGTGGACACCTCTGAGGCTCCGAAAGGTAGGATGCCCCGCTGGGTCAGGGGCTCAGGGCCGGGAGAAAGGGAGGCACCACCTGGGAAAGGAGGCGTGGATCCGGAGTGGGATCCTTAGGAAGGAGATAGAACCGAATAAGTGCTCACTCAGATGGAGGGAGGGTGCTGGGGTCCAGAGGAAACCTAGTGCCTAGGAAGCCGTTGGTGAGCTCCTGCGGGGCTAGGAGGAGTCCTCCTCGCCAGCCCCGGTGGGAGTTGCTCCTCTGCACTGTCACCGGGGGTCCTGGAATGATTCGGGTCCCACAGCGTTACCGCGGCAAGGTGCGAAGTCCAGCTTTCATACCGTCTTGGTGGAGCAGGGGATCCGCCTTAGGTGGCGTGCCTATTAAGGAGACCTCGAGTTGTTTTCAGGATGCCAGACTGGCTCACGCTCACTTGCACCCCATCTGTCGCTGCTTGTTAGCTAAGGATCCACAAATACAGGAACCAGATGCATTTCTTAGGCCAGGAAGTCTGATAATGAGAGACAGTTGACAACAGCTCCTCCAGCCATCATTTGGCCTCAGCTTCTAAAAGCAAAAAGTAACGCCTTGGCCTTAGTAAGAAGAATCTGAAAGTGGGGAGACCTGTCTGAATACAGAAGGACTGAGTGGAGACAAGGCCCACCCTAATAGATAAAAAGATCTGTACTTCAGCAGGGAAAGGTGGGGCTTCATAAAGTTGAATTTTAAAAGCGTAAGAGCAGTTGCCTCGCCTAAGGTCTCAGCAACGGCCGGGCTGCTTCGTTCTATTCGGTTCTCTTTGGAGCCTCTTTTCCCCTCTCCCCACATTGCTTCTCCTGTTGCCCTTCCCTGGGTTCTATTTGACTGTGGGATTAGCATAGTCATCAAAGCTGGGAAGGCAGATGCATTTTATCTAACTACACACCTATCTAAATAGCTACTATGGTTTATTGTTCACAAGCAACCTGCGCTTTCAGATTTTTGTCAATACGTGCTTTCTACTAGGTAGAGATTGGATTTTGAACCCCAAGGAAGCAGCTCTTTATAACTATTTGTTAGCTTAATAATGATGTGGTCACCTGCTGTTCTATGGTCTCTGGAAAAGACATTAGAACGCAAGACTGCACTGAATAGGAACCATTGTTTTTACAAAGGATGAGCAGTAAGCAAGGTATTACTTGGTTGCACAGTATCTGTGATAGTATTATAGAAACCAAACGTTCTTCCTTCGTACCAAAGTACTTCAAATTTGCTCTGGTTTAGGAAGGTGGAAACAGGTACTGTGGCTGCACTTTCCTCTGTATTCTGTGGTCCTTTCCCCTCTGCCTTTCTGGTGGATGCTGCCTCTGACGGCCAAGGTGAAGCTGTTGAATCTCACAGAGTGAATCAGTTACTTTATCAGGGGTCTTCCCTGAAATGCTCTTGGCTATAGCTATGACTTAATCTTGGCAAATGTCACTTTGAAGTGAGCACTGGAAAGGAGAAAGATTAAGAGGACTTCTGATACTTCCCATTACTTCAGGATGGTATCAGCTGCATGCTCAATTGTACAAAATACAGACACCATGTATGTTGTGTGTTGAGCATGATCAAGGGTCAATCAAAGGTCATCACTCTTTTGCTTGCTGAACACAGTGGGTATGGGGAGCTTTACCACTTGGAAAGCTATCTTTATAACTGAAGTACCTGAAATCGCAAAACTTTTTAATTATAGGGAAATTAAAGTCACTGGTTTGTTAACAAAAAATAGGTAGCTATATAAAAGCATTTCATTTCCATATGTTTTTACAGATGGTCATGAGACAAACAATAAATTACTTACAACATTACATCATACTTCAGTGAACAGAGGCCACACGCACATACTGAACTCTGAACTTTTCCATTCCTTCCACCACCCAGCTGTCTCTCTCTCCCTAGCCTTCTCTAGAACTGGAAATAAAGACAGATTAAACTTTAATTCTTTTGAGTTTCTTTTACTGACATCCTTTAAACGTAGATGAGCACAAGGCCCATATTCAGAGGCCAGAACAAAATAGAAAAGGTCTATCCGTCACCTGTATGTGGTGCAGAGTTATACTGGTACTGTCATGGCACGCCACAGTGTTCTGCTGCCAGGAGTTGGATTTCATAGAGCGTCATCAGTATCTTGTGGGTAGGACAGCAAAATGGCAATTTATAGACCATGGAGTGATTTATGTACTAGGAGATAAAAGTAAGATCTCTATTCCATATGCAAAGAAATTGAAATCAAGCCATTTTGTACCTGGACAGTGCCGTCCAGTTATGAAATGACAGAGCCGTGGCTCCAACCAGAATGTTTTCCAGAATACTACATTTCATACTAGGTAATTTTGTATTATTATTTTTTAGGTTTTATGACAGATTATAATTTGTTTCTCCTAAACATTCATATTCGTTTTTCTGTATTGTTTATTCTTTGAGAATTTCACAAATATATACAATGTATTTTGGTCATATCCATCCCACAATTTCCTCCCTCCAACTCATCCTGGACTACAACATACATACATACATACATACACACACACACACACACACACACACACACACACACACACACACTTTCCCTCCCAATCTTATCTCTTATCTCATTTTATTTTATTTTATTTTATTTTATTTTATTTTATTATTTTTTTTTTTTTTTGGTTTTTCGAGACAGGGTTTCTCTGTGTAGTTCTGGCTGTCCTGGAACTCACTCTGAAGACCAGGCTGGCCTCGAACTCAGAAATACGCCTGTCTCTGCCTCCCAAGTGCTGGGATTAAAGGCGTGTGCCACCATTGCCCGGTTCCTTTTATTTAAAAAAAAAAGAAAAAAAAAAAACCTGTTGGGAGACGACTCTGAGCAGAAATTGGCTATCACCTTTGCAGCCATCTTAGGCCATATACCCTGACAAGAGACTTGTTTTCAACAGCCTACAACAGCTGAGCACACTCTGATAAACATCTTGTTTTTCTCCCATATCTTGTTGTTTAATGCCCCTAGCTGCAAGGTGCACGTGGTAAAGTGTCTTCAGCTGCAGTCTCCTGCTTATGCTTATATATACCCATGATTTCCTTTCAGTAAAAGAGACTTGAACAGACCCTCTGTCTTGTCTCCATTCTTTGCGTCTCTTGCCCTTCCATCCCTACTCTCTCTCTTGCTAGACCCTGACCTGCAGACTGGAGCAGCAGCTAGGGCCGGGACAAAGTGGCCCCCAAACGTGAGGCAGAACGGGCTGTTACAAAAACCCACTAAATCAAATCAGTATTCCAACTATTCCCATGACTGTGGAGCCATCCACAGGAGTATGAGCAATCTACCAGGATCCACTGCCCTGTAGGAAAAAATAACTGTCCCTCCCCATGTAGTAGCCCAGTAGCCACTGACTGCCAATACCTCCTCAGCTAAGGATGGTATCTCATGTGTCCCTCTTCTGTCTATTCTGGAATGCTGATTGTCTTGATCTTGTGCAGGTCTTCAAGTCTTACACAGATAACCAGTTACTGCGAATTCATGAGTAGCAGCCATTAAAAAAAAAAAAAAATCAGTTCTCAGAGCTCTCCCTAAACTTGGGCTCTTACAAACTTTCTGCCATTTCTTCTACAATGTCCCCTGTACCCTGGGTGGGGAGAGAGGTTATACAGACACACATTTAATGCTGAGCACTGCATGGTGGTTTATTCTTTGGACCTTAACCAACTGTGTGTCTCTTTACTGATCACTGCCCACTGCAAAAAAGTAGCTTCTCAGATGAGAGCTGCACTAATTTATGGGTATGAATAAAAATATTTAGAAGGCAGTTGATACTATATTTAACATAATAATAGCAGTAGGCTCTCCTCTAGGGCTTCAACCTCTCCAGCTGCAGGTTTCTGACCAGGATTGTGATACCAAGCATGAGCCCCCCACTATGGAGTGATTCTTATATCCAATGAAAAACAGCCAGTTACCTCCATAATCCATAACGTTCGTGCCCCTATTGCAACATTAGTAACATCCTTCCAGGTCAGTCATTACTGTTGTTCTCGAGAGCTCACAGCGGAATAAAACTGTTGATAACTTTTCTCCCCTGATAGAATGCATAGAATTTTCCAGCACTGTGAAAGCTAGCCAGCAAAGAGAAAACATCCAGTCCAGTAGTACTGACTTGAATATCATACAACCAAAGCGTGTGGTGTCTCCAGCAATAGGGTCTTACCGCTACGCTCTGATTGGATGATCAAGAGCAATGGCATAGCTTGTATTGTTTTAGGGATGACTGCTGGGATGTTCCTAATAACACAAGAGTATCCCACATAGGCACTGGGATTTTTGTTTAATAACTTATTGCTTCTAGAAGAAGCATCATCCCTCCATCTAGGGTACTTCTAGTCAAACTTTTTTTTTTCAACGAACTTATAAGATAGTAGGTTTCCATATGTCTTTTCCAACCCTCCTTAGTGTTAGTTACCCCTGCTGCAACTCTTCCCTCTGCATCCCATCCCCCCCTTAACTAACACCTCCCACTATTCCCCTTTGTCCTTTCATATCACCTGTGTTCTACTTTAAGATCTTCCCAAACCCCTCTGCAATTGCCCATTGCTATTATCCTGGCGTTTACAAGCACCCCAAGTTATACACGCAAATCTAAGTCTAAGCTGAATCCACAAATGAGAGCAAGCATGTAGCATTTGTCCTTCTAGGCCCGAGTCACCTCACTTGGTCTAATATTTTTCAGTCTCATAAATCTTCCTGCATGTTTCATAATTTCATTTTTCTTTACAGATGGATAAAACTCCATTGTGTGTATATACATATTTTCATTATGCAATTCATTAGTTGTTGACCATCTAGGCAAGTCCATTCTCTAGCTATTGTGATTAGAACAGCAAGGAGCATGGATAAGCATGTAACTCCATACTAGTTTGGAGAGGCCTTTGGGTATATGCCTTGGAGTGGTATAGCTGTATCATATGATATATCTCGCTCAAGTTTTTTGAGGAGCCTGAACACTGACTTCCAAAGTGGCTTCACCAATTTA